TATGTCGTAGGGAAACTTTTCAAACTTTTTAAAGCTTATTGTACACAGTCAAAAATTATCTAAAAAATAACTCTGCCGCGACGTTGATCGGACATTCCAATAAAATGTAATGAATTATTTTACAATATCATCGAAATCGGAATTTTAATTAAAATTTAAACTTAATTAATTAATAACTCTGTAAATAGTTAACAGTTCATCAAAAAAACTGCAGGATATATATAATCAGGTATCCTCTTCAAACTGGCATAGTTTGAAGGCACATTTTTTGGGGTGGGATGGACCCCCCCTTAAATATAGGTACTCTAGTGATATTTCGGTTGTTTCGCTAGAACGCATCGGTTTTGGACAGCAGTTTGGTGTTTTTGCTGGAGGATGACATTCACTAACGGTTTTATTTCGTTGGATTTCTTTCACGAAATTAAACACATTTTGATCAACACTTCCATGAAACGTATAACTTTGTTTTGTTCCAGTTTGATCTAAACGCTTAGTTTTGGATAACCAATTAATGCGAGCGTAATCCCAATTGGCTTTGTCAACATAATCAAATGTTGAGTGTATCTCAACTTTCAAATATAATTGATCTACTGCGGAACTGTTATTGTCGTCACTATCATCTATGACTGATTCCATATCATAATCATATGGATCATTTTTGTTGTCGGATGAATAATCCATTGAAATGTTCGGAACCCTCCCTAAAACGGACATATGAAAGAAAGAAATTAAGTTTCATTTAAACATCTATATACCTTCGAATTCGACCGAGTTTTACATGACTGAACCTGAAGCAGTGATTGTTTGAAAGGTATAATTGTACTGATTAAAAAAGGTCGGTTTACTATAACATTTAATCGCTTTCGTTTCAATTCTGAACTGTATTCAGTTCGTAATCTTTTTTTCAAATTTATATTCATTTTTTTTTTATCAATCATGTGCAGTGATTTATTATTTATCAAATATCTTTCAATTGATTGACAAATTACATTCAGGCGATAAGTCACTAGTTCATTTTCTTTTAGAAAAATATATTGTAATATAGCTGCTGGTAATCGAACTCGAACGTAACTGGTTGTTAATTGACAGTCCATTTGCATCAATTTCTCTTCGAATGTTGTTGAAATATCTTTGTTTTTACCTTCTTCACTACCATTCAATGCTGCGTCATTATCAGTATCTAAACTTTCTTCTGTACCCGGATCAAATCTATGCATGAAACTTTCGTCTTTCCAAGAAAAGGTAATTTTTGTAGAGCTTGAACAAGATGGTGGCGTTAAAAATTGGCGGTGCTGACGTTTTTCAACGGGAATTCGAATTGATATTGTTGTACGAGGCCAACTATTTGCTTTCGATCGCTTATTTTTATTGTAATACTTTATTTTCGCGCGAACTAATGTCCGCAGTTTTGTTTCGATTTCTTTACTGATGAAAGCCCGTTGACATTTCTCATCAAATGCATACAAGATTTGTTCGACATTGTCAACTAATTGTTTAATTATTTCTTTGTTAGATAAAGTATCGTCAGCTTTAATGAATTTATGGATGTTAAAATTAATTGTGCGATATTCCTAAAAGAACAGAAGTTCGACAACGTCGCCTTTACTGAACGGCAATCAAAGACAGAAAAAATAATTGTTTCAACAGTTCTGAGCTGAAATAATATAGAGTAGAACAGTTAGTAAAAACATTTATTTTCTATATGTTGAATGTCTCTACCATCTTACTGCTTAACAGTGATGAAAAAGCAACTTCAAGTTATCCATACCATTGTTGGTTGATTGACGATTGTAAATTTTGTGTATTTCAACAGCTACCCGTGTAGCATCTTTTTCGAAAATATTTATTTCTGTGAAGAATGAAATTATCTTAAAAATAACAGTACCTTATAATCCTGTTTAGACTTTACCGGTTTAGTCTCAGGCTTCAAGCATCAAGTAATAAAGAATGCTAAGTACCATGGGCTGATCGCGTAGTAAATCATAATATGCTAGTTAAACTTTCTTTTCTAAGGCACTTTTCTCGCAAAAAAAAGAGTAATTCACAGGCACTGCCTGTGAATTACTGAATGAACTGTACGGTACAGTTCATTTTTCTATTAGAGAACTGTTTGTTATTTCTTTCTAGGAATGAGAAAAGAACGCACACGTATCACATTTTTATGCGGCAATAGCACTCTTTCTTTTGAAAGAATCAATCCACACGTGAATAATGTTGATGATCTTTCTATATATCGTCTTTTTCCTCACTGAAATTGAAATTTAGATGCTAAGAAAACCTGTTCTTCTTCTTGTATATAGCTACAAAAAAAACAACTTGCTAAGATTTGTGAATAGAACGAGAAAATCTTCTTTCATAGCCTGCGTCTCAAATAATGGATAATTTCTGTCGTGAAATATACATCTATAGATATCAAATTAACATTCGATCAGCTGGTGATAGTATCCTCTATACCTTGTTAAGCCGGCCGAGTGACACTATTCATCTTTTCCCTTTTTACACACACTTTTATCTTTCAAGCCAGCCACTTGTTATCAGTTATTCCGAATAGTACAGATTAGGTGTGTTCGGTTAACCGATGTTTCGGTTAAACCGAAACCCAAATAATCGAACAGTGGTTTATAACCAAAACCGAAAATATTTCTGAACTACTAACCATTTCAAAATATAATGGAGTCCATTGGTTTTTGAATAACTTTGATAGAAAAGAGATAGAGACCTACAGTTTTAAAGAGAAAAATGTTGGGTGAGGGTGAATATATAAAAGTCCGCGTGTTTATCCATGGTGCGTGTATATTTGTATTAGAATACTAGAGACTAATGTTGACTTTGATAGTATTTTTTGCAAGATTTCACTGTGGAGGTCTTGAAAATTTTTACATTTCTAACTGGACAAAATATGATGGAGTTAAAGTGTCTGAGCGACTGCGTTTATTACCTAATAAAATTCGGTCCTTTTATTTCCAATTACGTGTTTTTGACTGTATAAATGTTGAAAGTCATCCATGAAAATTTTATTCTAAAGAGGAGAAATATATACGACATAAGCAGAGAGTCAGGAAAGCGTTAGTGATGATTGTATTAGTTATATGAAACAATTGTGATTAATCATTATCTTATCTTTTCAGGTCAATGTATCCAATTCGAAAAAATCGAACCATTCAATTCTCCTATGCAAAACTATTCCAACATCAGAAGCCATCGAAACGTTTACAAAATCGACCATCTCCACGTCAAACACGACATAATCAAAATGTGCCACAACTAGTTATGATCGCCGAACTAGTGCAAGATCTTATATTAAGAAATTTAGCCGATTACAAAAATAGTGGTCTTATTTGTTACGATCGTGAAACAATCGACAAACAATTATTTGAATATTTGAAGAGGTATTACAAAGTACGTATATATCTCACAAATTTTACTATCTAAGTTAGATGGACAGGAAACAACATGATCCCCGTAAAACTGTCACTATACTTATTTAGAACTTCCTTCGAATATTTCTCGTGAATATTGCGCAGTAATACCTAGAAGCTTCGCATTGCTACTTTTTCCCATTATTTTTCGGCTGTTCAAACTAGGATGTATTTATTATTTGCTTGATTGACATAATCTGACTGTATTTGTATTGACATTTAGCCGAAAATAACAGCTGATAATAATAAAGGCTAGAAGAAAAGTAATTGATAAAAATTTGCCGAAAATAAAAAAATGAACAGTATGGTCGACGGGTAATAAAGATATTGAACGTGATTTTAGATAGAATTCAACGAAACTACAGGATAAAACGATGGTTCTGGCATCGTAAGTCATTAGAAATTGTCCGTTGCATACAAGGCACATCTTATTTTCTTAACGTAGAGTGAGGATCACCTTTACGCGTATTTTTTGAGCTTATGCCTGCATTTTTAATTTCTTCAAAGCATCAAAAAGATTATTTTGCAAAGTAAGCAATTTATAGTGTCTTAGGTTTCACATTGAAACTGATGTCTTTTCCTTTAATATAAAGGTTACAGCATGATGAGAATGCCAGATGATGGATAAAAACTCAAAAAACTGATTGCACCATGTTCTCGAACAAACGACCGAGTAAAACATGATGTAAACACGTTTAAAAGTCCTAAAAATAAAACCAGGGCGTTGAATGATTTATAAGTAACTCTGTTTACGTCGAGAAACGCACAAAAAATTCTCTCCATCTAGTACTTCGAGCAATGATAGCGAATCAAAGAACCTTCTCCAAGTCAAACTAGACAAGACAAATACATATCTTAGAGAAGGTACTTTGATATATTAAACTGCAGTGGGAAGGATTCTCTTTCAATCTACTCCACTGCGGTGTAATGTAAACTAAAAATTTTATATTAGAAACATAATAACTGACATTGGAAAGACCGACTAACATGATGCATCGCAATAGTATCTGTAATAGAGATATGCAGAGTAGCAACTTTTTGAGCCGCGAATCTATCCCTGTGAAAAAAAACTTTTCCGATATTTTTCATTTGTCTTGCCTTATGCGAAACAATAAAATTCGCTTGTAAAACTAAATATCGACATATAATCCTCTGTTAAAACTGAAAAACTAAAAATCATCCACGATTCTCAAGTTTACTTTATCAGCCAGCTTAAAGCTACGTGTGTCAGCTAATGTCTTAATCTTATTTTTTGATTAAAAATTATATTTGAAAAAATAATAATTAATTTTCCCCAAAAAATAATTTTTTAAAATCCTCGGAATATCGCTCACTGATACATTTCTTCTTACTGCATATTTTCGGGTCAACAAATGGCTAAGAATGTTCATTTTCACCCGAGAATAGGTGACAAAAAGACGTTTTTGTGAAGGTTATCCGAAAAGCAAGAACTTCCTAGTATGTCGAACTTCGTAATGCTGCATCGAATGAATTTTGAATGACAGCTTAAGACATTCACGTTAAATTAGAAAACGAGTAATTTTTGACACAATTCCATTAAAATATCTGTATCTTCCGAGCACACGTTTCCGCCTCCTGATTTGAATAGAGTTCCAAGTTCTGAGTATATAAGGTGAGTATTCGATAGAGCTCGATGAGCTGATCAAGAATATCTGCATTTTAGTCTTAAAAAATTGTTTTT